TTTTTTCCGCACCGGGGATTGGACTCAGGCCCTTGCACTTGCCAGGGAAGTGCTTATTCTACTGAGCCATCTCCCTGGCCCCCATATTTTTGGCACAATATTTATAGATTTTGATGATTGTTTTACTTCCTGGTGGGCCAGATCCTCACTTACAGAGGAAACTCAGACACAGACATGCCTCAGGTCTCAGTATCACCCAAAGGAGAGGACTGTGTGACAAATATTGGTCAGATATTTTGACTCCTACTTGCCAGCCTCAGCCTACCCTGCATGGGATCCACACAGCAAATGCTTGGAAAAGAAACAGACCAGAGCCAGATGGGTAGTGCTGTATCTGGGGATCTTGTTTCTTACAAGAAAGTGATATAAACCACACTTCCTGGTTGTTATATGCCTCCCAATGACTTATGCTATTTCCCAGAACTGTCCATAATGGCTTATGTACAAATCTATCTACTAAGAAAATAAAAAGCGTTGTTTTCAAAAGGTAGAATTAGTACAGAATGGGTCCACAGCAAAAGGGAGGACATTGTGATGGTTTGAATATTATTATTATTTTTTTTGGTGGGGGGGAACCGGGGATTGAACTCAGGCCCTTGCGCTTGCTAGGGAAGCGCTCATTCCACTGAGCCAACTCCCTGGCCCTTGAATATTATTTGAGTGTTTTTTTTGTTTGTTTTGTTTGTTTGTTTGTTTGTTTGTTTGTTTGTTTTTGTGGTACTGGGGATTGAATTCAGGACCCTGCACTTGGTGCTTATTCTACGGAGCTATCTCCCTGCCCCTCTTCCTGAAGGTGTTAGCATCGTGGTGGTCCTCAAGGTAACAGTGTTTAAAAGTTGGTGAAATCTTAGAGTCAGAGGCTATTGGGCGACTGTTGCTGCTCCACCCCCTGCAACTGTGTTTCATGTGATCTCTGTCAGGCAGGCTTCAGCGATGACGCTGTCTGCATGGTGTGATGTATCCCGCAGGACTTCGTGCCTTTCAGCGCTATTCTGTTGAACTTTCAGCCTTAGAAACTGAGCTAAATAAACTTTCTTTTTATAAGTTACCTCAGGTATTTTATTTATTTATTTATTTATTTATTTTTTGCGGAACCGAGGATTGAACTCAGATCCTACTGAGCCATCTCCCCGGCCCTTACCTCAGGTATTTTAATAGAAAACAGACCAATACAATAGTTCAGCTTCACCTGTGATGGGGGCTGGAATAGCCTCTGCCACAGGGTCATCTTTTCCCAAGAACACGTGAAAGACTACTGCCATCTCATTTCTGTAGGTTGACTGCTCTGAGTTCACAGTAGTAGTCACTGGCTTTGTGACCATGTGTAACTCACTTAACTTCTCTGTGTCTCAGTGCCCTTGTCTGTCAAAGAAGAATAATGATGTGCAGGCCTCATTGATTTGTTATGAGGATTAAATGAGGTAATGTCTAGTAGAGGGCCTGACATGCATTGTATACATAATGTTAACTAACATTTTTATTTAATATTTCTATCAAGACATTTTTATTAGGTATCTACTGAGCTCCAGAGACTCTTGTAGGTAGTGGTTCGAGAGGAGAGAACAAGACAAGGGAGGTGGCTGTTTTCCTGTTTTCTATTCTAGTGGAAGAAATTGATAATAAATTAACAATAACTAAGCAAGACAATTTTAGATCATTGCTATAAGTTTCATAAGTGAAAGTAGCAGAACTATTTTAGGTGGAGGTGGTCAAAGAGGGTGAGGCAAAGCCAACTATGCAGAGAGCTTATGGAAGAACATTCCAGTCCAGGAAACAAGGGTGGTTTTTCTGACAGGAAGAGACAACCCAAGTTCCTTTTTTGCTTTTGTTCCAAGCTGGGATTTGAACATGAATTTTGTCATCTGTTTTTTGTTTTGTTTTTGCAGTACTGGGGATAGAATACAGGATATTCTCACAGAGCTACATTCCAAGCCCTGTTAAATTACTTTTATTATCATGAGTACTTTTTTTTTCTTGATACTGGGAATCAAACTGCCCTTGCGCTCTCTCTCTCTCTCTCTCTCTCTCTCTCTCTCTCTCTCTCTCTCTCTCTCTTATGATACAGAGTCTTTCTAAGTCACTAAGTTGCCCAGGCTGGACTTGAACTTGTGATCCTGCTGCCTCAGCCTCCCAGTGTGCTGGGATTACAGGTGTGCACAACTATGCCCATCTTGTTGGTCTCTTTTAAACAAAATGCCATGTCTACAAATCTTGATGTGATGGACTAATTCAAGTATTTGCAAGTAGGAAGGGAACCAAGAAACAAAATGGTGGGCGGTGGGTTGAAGAAGGGGTTTAAAAATAATTAAGATGTATTGTATACATGTACCATGATGAATGTAATCATTATGTACTACAAACAAATACTAATACAAATTTGAAAACTTTAAAACAGATAAAGACATTATTAAAAAAATTCACATGTTGAAATCTTAATTCCAATTTGGCCATATTTTGTTACAAGGGTAGAGCCCAGATATATCAGGATTAGTGAGGACAGTGTCCTTTTAAGAAGAGACACGAGGGTCAGTCAAATAGCTCAGTGGATTAAAGTGCCTGCAAGTAGGTGCAGGGGCCAGGGTTAGATCCCCAGAGCCTGCCATGCCAGCCCTGCCCCTGGGACATGCTGAGATGGCAATTGAGACTGGGCGTGGTGGCACATGCCTGTAATCCCAACTCTTGGGAGGCTGTGAACACGTGGATCACTACAAATCTGATCTAGTAGTGAGACCCTGAACACCCTGTAGACCCTTCCCTAAAATACAAAAAAAAAAAAAAAAAAGAAGAAGAAGAGACACTAGAAAGCTGGTTTTCTTTCCTCCCCTAATTCAAAGACATGGAGGAAAGACCATGTGCAGACACTATAAGAAGGAAGCAAGCCAGAAAGAGAGCCCTCACCAGAAACCAAATTGGCCAGCACTGTGATCTCAGACTTCCAGCCCCCAGAACTGTGAGAAAGTAGTTTTGTTATTGTCAAAGACACCTAGCCTGTGATATTTTAACTATGGTAGCCTGAGATGGCCAAGGCACCTGGATAAATTTGTTTTCCTATCCTGAATGAAACTGTTATTGGAAAAACATACTTACAGGAATCCTCTTGAAAAAATGAGCCCCTGGGTGGCAGAGCGGGTAATGGACCAGGTGACTGATTAAGAACATTCCTGGAGGGAAACACACACACACACACAGAGACACAGAGAGAGAGAGAGAGAGAGAGAGAGAGAGAGAGAGAGAGAGAGAGAGAGAGAGAGAGAGTCAATATTGGATTTGATCTAGTCTGTCAGCAGATTTACAAGAAAACATCACCAAGGAAAGTGAATGGGTTGAATATTCATATCTTAGTCCCTAACAACTGGAAGCACTGCTTTTCCTACCTAAATTTCTCTTGCTCAGGGAATGGCTGAAGCAGGGCAGGGAGTTGAGGCATTCTAGGTTAGAGCATGGAACACACTCTCTGTGTTCTTCTGAGCTGGATTAGGAGAGGGAGCTGGGCACCGTGTGTAGTTTTCAGGTTGCAAAATAAATGAGCCTCCGAAGCTGAATATAAACACATTCAAGACAGCAATCACCTGACCCTCCTATACTGTACTGCACTGTTTATGTCTGTTCGTCAAAAGACATACATGAACATGTTCGGAGCATCACTATTCGTAAAAGCCCTGCTATTATAGATGTTGGATGTCCCCACCAAAGGGCAGTGTGTTAAAGGTCTAGGCCCCAGTTTGGGTGCTATTAGAAACTTTAGGAGGTGAAGTCTAGTAAGAAGTCTTCAGGTCACTGGGCGCAGGTCCTCAAAGGGGATCATGGGATCCTGCTCCCCTCCTCTCTCTATTTGTTTCTCTCTGGCCAGGAGGTGAGCACTTTTGCTCTGCTATACACTCTCCACCGTGATGACCGCCCAATCACAGGCTCCAAAGCAACTGGGCCACCCCACCATGGACCAGAACCTCAAAGCTTTGAGCCAAAATAATTTTTTTTTATCTTTGTAAGCTGATTCTCAGGTATTTGTTACAGTAACAGAAACTAATACAAGTCTAAAATTAGGCACAACTTATGCTAGCCTAGGGTCTCCAGAGAAACAGTATCACATAAAGGAACTATCAAGGGCTGGAGATATAGCTCAGTAGCACAGTGCCTGCCTGGCAAGCACAATGTCCTGAGTTTGATTTCTAGTACCAAACTAAAGCAAAGCAAAGCAAACCAAACAATCAAGCAAAAAACAAAACAAAACAACAACAACAACAAAAACCAAAGTAACCTGAATGCCCATCAGCTGTATAGCAGATAAATTAATCATGACCTACTTCCATGGTGGAATACTGTATAGCAATAAGAATGAACAACATACAAGTACACAAAATAAATCTCACAAAAGTAATGGTGAACAAAGGAAGCCAAGCACCAAACAATCCACACTGTGTAATACCAGTCATATAAAGCACAAAACCAAGAAAAAACTGGTGATACTCTTGCAATAGTGGATACTTTGGGGTGTCCTGGCTGAAAGGCAGTTGAAGGTGAGTGACTAAAGCATTGGGAATCTCTTGTGTCATGGTCCTGTGCTTGCTACCTGGGTCTGCTCAACTCAGAGAAATTCATTGAGCTGTGCATTTACTATGTGTGTTTTTCTGTATTCATATTTACTTTGCTAAGAAGTCTTAACTGCAGTATCAGTTTCGTGCTTAAAGGTGATATGTTGTTTACTAAGCTACCTGATACATTTGTTTTATTCCTCATGCATATCAAATTGGTAGGGAAGGGGTTTTATTTGCTGGGCCCCTTGGGCCCCAACTAAAGCTATTTTATTCAAATTATTTTATTTTACTTTTTAAAGAGAATAAAAATCTAAAAAAAACCATTAGAAATGATACAAAATTTCATTAAACAAATTAATAGGAATTCAACAATGGTTGTTATATCACATATTGTTGTCTTCAAATTAATTGTTCAGATCAACAGATATAAGCATGCAAAATTGGTCAAAAAGTTATAAAAAAATTAAAAGAAGAGAGAAAAAGTAAGCATTAACTGCTCCCTTCAATAGACCAACAGAAATCAGCAGTACAATTATCCAAACTATTCTGTGTTGAACATATATGTTTCTTTTTCCCTTCCTTCTTTCATTTCTCCTTTCCCTCATCCTATCCTTCCCTTTAAAGTTTCTTTCCCTTTCATAGTATCTATTGTATCTTTCAGATTTCATTTTCTCTTCATGTTCTTATACTAACAAGACAATACAGTGTTTACACATGCAGGTCTGATTTATTTCACTTATGAGTATGGTCTAAAAACATGGAAATTTCATGAATTTGTGAGTCATCCTTGCGCAGGGGCCATGCTAATCTTCTCTGTATCATTCCAATTTTAGTATATTGCTGCTGAAGTCAGCACAACAAAAGCCAATTTAGAGAAAGATAGATTTTTTGAAAGACAGTGCATATCACAAAAACAAAAACAAACAAATAAAAAACCCAAAAGTGCTGGTGCTGGTGAGATAGCTCAGTGGTCTAAAGTGCCTGCGTAGGCAAGCTTAGGCAAGCACAGGGACCCTGGTTAGATCCCCAGCACCACATGCCACACCAGCCCTGCTCCCAGGATGGGCTGAGCCAGCCAGCCAGCCAGCCAGCCAGCCAACCACACACACACACACATACACACACACACACACACACACACACACACACACACACAGATAGTGCATAACAGCATAACATACAAAGAAAGGACTGGCTCTTGACCAGCTCCTGGGAGATTATTGCTAAATTCTGTCTGAGGAGAATATATACCTGGGGTCTTGAACCATAGTTATGCTATAGTTAATGCTCCTTAGATGAGTTAGGATGAAAGCCTTTCTGTTTGTTTGTCTGGGACCTGATGCCATGTTGTATCAGTTTGACCTTTGGAGGGGCTGAAGACTGAATAGCTGAAGATCAGTCACATGGACATTCTAGGTCCCCACAAGTCACTTCCAGTGAACCCTCAACTCCAAGGGTCAGTGAGCTTCTCTGATCGGCAGTGCTTCACATGTATCATTACACATCATTGCTGGAACAGTTAATGATATCTGTGGGACTATACGAGAGAGGACAACCCAAGGCTTGTGCCTGGTTTCCCCTAGACTCTGCCCTCTGTAGTATTTTTCCTTTGCTGATTTCAATCTCTATGCTTTGGTCATATTAAGTTGTATCCATAAATGTAATCACTTCTGGGTCCCCTAAGATTTTCCAGTGAGTCATCAAGCTTAAGGTTGGCCTTGGAGATCCTCAACACTAATAGCAATTATAAAGCCCTAAATATAACACAAAGAACCAAAGTAAACCAAATACTAAATTTTTCATCCAGCCCATAGTGTTCAGAGGACTATACTTGTAAAAAATTTAAAAGAGACAGATGATGGCTCAGGACACAGACCGAGCTTGACCTGTGACTTCCGTCAAAAGTGACAAGAGAGGTTTTGGTGAGAAAATAGCACCAGATGATGCCCTCACCCACAACACCTTGAGACTTCTGTCCTTTAAGTGAGGAGGGTTGGCAGATACAACATTTTGCCAACTCCAAAGCAAGTGTGGGCATTTCAATCATACTGGAGTGGCAGAGGAGGGGCCGGGGCAGAAATGCACAGGTGGTTCTTAAAATTAAGAAGTTTAGAAATAGTTCCCCACTTACTCGTACATCTTTTCTTCTCCTTGGCTTTGTTTGAAGAACTTGGTAATTTCCAATTTCTTACCTGGGGGAGAAAGCCATATTTGTTTAGGATGAATTAGTAAAAAAATGTGATTGTAGAGTTTAGAAGTCTTCAGAGACTCAGTGCTCCAGGACATTTGGAATTAGAATGCCCAAAGGGAACATAGCTAGGAACACAGAGCTGGCATCTGAACCCAGGCCATCTGACTACAACAGTGTGGGCATTAACTGAATGAGGGTGGCAACCATGTGGGCTCTAGGTCCCATGAATAACTAAAAGTGGTCAGGAGAAAATTTAATAAAGACTTGGAAGTTTGTAAGCTCTGATGTATTGGATATAATTGTTATTATTAATTGTAATCTGCTTGTTTTTATGGGTGACATGATAAAGGAGAATAAATAAGATTTTTGTTTAGGGCTATACATTTGTCCATATATGAGAATAAAAAATTTTAAGAAAGCAAAGGGATGGAGAGCTATAGGGCCCAGAATACAACTTACATGTTTTAAAAAAAAACTAGTTATATTATGGGATAATGGGGGAAAAGCATTGAATTGGGAGCCCAGCACCTCCGAGTTCCAGTCCCAATTCTGCTACCAGCTCCTATGGCGACCCTGTTAAGACTTTGTTTCCCTCTGAACTTTACTTTTCTTATTTCTTTTTCTTTTTTTAAAATTTTTTTGGTGGAACCAGAGATTGAACTCAGAGGGCACTTGCTAGGGAAGCGCTTATTCCACTGAGCCATCTCCCCGGCTCCTTACTTTTCTTATTTCTAAAAAAATATTGAGGATGACAAAAATATTTCACTTTTATACATCCATGGCCTTTTAGCACCAGGCTAAGCAGGATGCTGAGGCTGTGCCCAGATGTCCGGGGGACAGTGCCCTGATCACTGAGGGCAGCCTGCCCAGGGCCCTGGGGGAAGATGACCGCTTCTCAGTCTTTTCTCTCACCAGGTGTACTCCTGGGTTAGGTCCTTATTTAAAGGGATAGAATCTCAAGACAACACACAAGTGAATTATAATTTCATGTCTTTGGAGAAGAACAGTGAAGTGGAAAAATCCACATAGAGATAGTCTAAAGTCAGTGTCAAATTTCCAGACAGTGACTTATTTTTGTCTGAGGATGCTAAACACCTCTAGTAAAGGTGGGATAATAGCAAAAGATGCTAAGCATGATCTTGAAGAAGGTAATTGTGGTGGCAAAATATGTTGATTATGGCTTGAGTCTCTATTTCACTCCTAAGAAAATTGTGTTGAGGAGTAAGATAATTCTATAAATGTATATTCTTGTTCAAGTTCCGCAGACAAAATGAAGAAAAAGAAGCCACCTAAGGATACTGTGCCCTGAGGCAGATTGTGCTTTTGTTCAAACCCTCTGGACTAAGAGTCCTGGGAGATGAGTCAAGCTCCCTTCATTAAGCACATGGGGAAACTGAGGCCCAGGGACATCTAAATTAGTAGCAGGGCTAGGATTCAAACCCAGAATGCATGTTGATTAACTGAAAGTTTAGTTCACACAGCTTTAGGGCTAATCTTGCCTTACAGAAACTCTAATGCGTTGACAACCACCCACCCCTACCTCTGCCTGCTTAGGTGAGACAGCCATTACCTTGTCTAAACTGCCACCTATAGACACAGTACAGGATGAAGCCTAGGACCAAAGAGACAACAATGATGGCCACAGCTAAGATGATCCAGAAGTAATTCCTCCACCAACTCATTGCAGTGGAATCCTAAGAAGAAGAGAAACAGAAAAATGTATGAATGAAAGCTATCTGGAGCGGCAGTAGGGCCTATTATCTATTGCGTTGTGTAGAGATATGAACATCTGCTTATGAATCAGGTTCCGGTTCATAGTCAAACGGTAAGAATTATCAGCTGAGGGATTTCTGGAAAGTGACTAAACTTTCTCTAAGCCTTGGTGTCTCCATTTGTGAGGTGAAAATGACACCGTCTACAACCTCACAGGGTTTGGAAGTATGAGAGACAAGATATGTATCTACTAGGTATCACAGAAATAGCAGAAATGCTCACTATCCTTTTTTATATTGCCAAAATATAGCATCAGTAGAAAAGTTCCACGTAAAGCAATAATTGACTACAATTATTTATTTATTTATTTATTTATTTATTTATTTAATGTATTTGGTACAGGGTCTCACTATGCAGCTCAGACTCGTAGTGATCCTCCTGTTTTCAGCCTCCCAAGTGCTGGAATTACAGGTGTGTGCCACTATGCCTGGTCTCGGTGGTCAGCTCAGTGTGCCCAGAGGCAGGGCTGGCATGGCATGTGGTGCTGGGGATTGAACCCTGGTCCCTGTTGTTACCCTAGCAGGCACTTCGTCTGCTGAGCTATCTTGATGGCCCCCTATAGTTTGGTTTTTATTTTTATTTTTTTTAATATCAGAAAGGCAAGATGTACGACTGTTGACAGAGAATTCTGAGAGCTTTTATTTTGAGGTGGGTGTTAGAAAAATACCTTGATGGTACTATGGATTGAATATGGCTTGTCCCACCAAAATCCATGTTAAGTTTTGGTTCCCAATGTATTGGTGCTGAGAGATGGGACTTTTAAGAGCTGTCCGGGTCCTGATGGCTCCACCCTCAGGAACAAATTAAATTCCATCTCATGTGAGTGAGTTTTCGTTCTTGAAAGGTTATTGCAAGACTTTCTTCTCTCCTGCATGTGCCCAGCTTTTTTCTGCCATCAGATGAAACTGCACCCAGAATCCAGCCTCCAGTTTCAAAAACACAGAGCCCAAATAAATCTATTTGATTCAGAAATTACACAGTTGTGGGTTTTCTTTGATAGTAACAGAGTACAGACTGAGACAAAGGGTCTGTTTGGGTGAAGCATGGTCAGAAGGACAAAACTGAAGGTGCAGGGCAAGTTGAGTTAGCTTCATAAGAAAAGTAGCCAAAGTTCTGGGAGACTAGAGAAGAGGTAAGTCTTGGAAGAGGTTAGCAGCAGCGGGAGAGGTCAAGAAGAAGGCAGCAAGTTGGAGGAGAGTTAGAAAGCCTCCATACTGGGGCTGGTGAGATGGCTCAGTGGTCTAAAGCACCAGCTTAGCAAAGCACAGGGACCGCGCAGTTCAATCCCCCAGCACCACATGCCAGCCCACCCTACCCCCTGGTGGGCGGAGCTGGCCACACACACACACACACACACACACACACACTTAAATGAATAAAAATTTTTAAAAAAGAAAGCCTCGATACTGAGAAATAACGCACTTCTAGGACAGTTATGTATACTATTAAATTTTAAATATATCCCTATATTATGCCATGTTGTAAACTTCTGTTACCACTAAACCTTCGATAAAACTGCACAACACATGAAGCTTGTATGAACAGAGCTTGAGGGCAGGAACAAAAAGTGTACAGTGGTTTTCCCAGCCAGGGAGGACATACAGTACATAGAGAGAATAGCAGCTGTCAGGCTTTAAGTTCCAGTGGGGGAAACTCCTGTGGGATGGGCTGATAGGAACACCCCTAAGGAATTCAACAGCTCTTGGGTGAGAGGCTGGGCTCCCTTCAACCATGGAATATATACTTTTCCAGTTTATTTGGATATAAAGAAAAAATGGGGGCTGGGGAGATAGCTCAGTAGAATAAGTGCTTGCCTGGCAAGCTCAAGGTCCTGAGTTCAATCCCCAGCACCACAAAAATAAATAAATAAATATAAGTGAATAAAGTAAAAATGATCCTTGAGGGCCCCTGGGAGAGGTCCTGACATGATGGTTATGGAAGAATCCACTTCCTGGATCACCATTTGGCTCATACAAGGCCACCCATACATATTCATGTAGTGCCACTTCAGAGCCCTGCTTCTGAGTAAGAGGAAAGATATAAAAATGCACCTAGACAAGTACCAGAGAATGGAGCAGAATTGGGATGCTCTAAAGCCATTGTTGTTACCAAGACCTTGCAACTTGGCTAAATTAAAAAATTTACTGATCAACATAATGTTTTGATTGGTTAAATATATTGTGATTTGGATATTCAATTTCAAACTTTACTTCTTTATTGAGGTTTTTGGCTTAAACAAATGTTTTTGGCTACTAGTAAGGTTATGTGTGGCAAAACTAATAATGTTTAATCAGTGCTTTTCTGTATCCATCATTCTGCAACCCTTTTTCCTGTGTGGCTTTTCTAATTTAAGTATAAAGGTCAACAAACTGGAGATTTACTCTTTTTTAAAAAAATGTATTTGGTACAGGGGGCTCTACAGGGTCTCATTATGTAGATCAGACTTGTAGTGATCCTCCTGTTTTCAGCCTCCCAAGCGCTGGGATTACAGGTGTATGCCAACATCCCCAGTCTCAATCGTTGTCTCAGTGCACTCCCGGGGTGAGGTTGACACAGCACGCCAGGGATCGAACCCCAGCCACTGCGCTCTGCCTAAGCAGGCACATTAGTCCACTGAGCTATTTGGCCAGCCCTGGAGATTTACTCTTAAGGAACCAAAGTATCAGCTGCTTGGTATAACTAATTCCTGAGGTATGCACACAGATTTTGCTGAAGATTATCTTTTCAGGATGCCTAAAAGAGAGCAATACAAGAGAAGAGGAGTGGGGGGAAGAGAAATTGGAAATGGCTGTCAGTGAAATTTGACTTTATAGGGCCCAGCGAGGTCAAAATAACACTACTTTAGAAGGGGCCACATAAATTGAAATTTTACCTTGTTTAGCCTCAGAGAATATTAGGTGGAAAAACAGATTTGTAGGTAGATAGGGTTGGCTAAATTAGGGTGGGATGGGTAGAAAAAGACAATTTTCTTCCCTCTATTTTGTCAGTTCTTTTTCCTCTTAGTAAAGTGTCTGTCTCCAAGGGCAGGTGGTATAGCTCAGCGGATTAAGCACTTGCTTAGGTAAGTGCAGGAGGCAAGGTTTGATCCCTGGCTCTGCATGCTGCACTGGCCCTGCCCCCCAGCGCGCTGAGCTGGTGGTGGAGTCTGGGCGTGGTGGCACACACCTGTAATCCCAGCACTAGGGAGGCAGAAATCAGGAGGATCATTACGAGTGTGAGCTGCATAGTGAGACCCTGCATACACACACACACACACACACACACACACACACACACACACACACACACTTAAAAGTGTCTATCTCTTGATTCTTCATCTATCTTTCTACTCTTATGTTCTGTGTCTGTCTTTTTGTTTTACTCTTGAAGAATTTCTCCAAAAAGCAATGGAAGCCTGCTCTTTAAAGCTTTAGAATATCAGGATAGGAGGGTTAAAAATTGTTGTATTGGAGAAGTGGGAGGAAAAAAGGGAAGAAAGACAGAAGTTTAGTGATACAGCTTTTTACTGTGAACACTATGTGTTGCTTGATTTTTGAAATATTTGCATTCACTTTGATAAAATTGCAAAATGGGTCATTGTTGTATAGCTTTCATGAAATGCCATTGCTCAAGTTTCAAAATGAAAGTGTTTCCATTCTCATCAGGTGCCTGGGAAAGAGAGAGGAAGCAGAATGTTGTTACCAGAAAGTGAAACTTTAGATCATTTTGGGCCTACTCAGAGGAATCATTTTTTCCTTACAAACAAAGCGATTTGATTTGCCATCAGACGGTTCATGCATGCTCACTCACCAGTCTGCTAGATGCATTCCCATCTCATTTCACCCTCAACTACACCTCATACTCCAGACAGGGAGCCAAGACTAAGGTGCAGGGCTCTGCCCCATTTCACTCAGGAAGCCCATGTTAATAATGGTGTCCCTAAATCATCAGGGGAGGGCCAAACAGGGGTATTTTGTTTTAGAAGGAGCATCACCATGGTGAAGAATAAAATGAAATGTGGACGACCACCTGAGCAGCTCTCCTTGAAAGAAGAGCAACTGTCTCCATTTTGGCTGAGCCTGACCCTATTTCCTCGTATCGTTCTGTACAGAGCTGGCTAGGACTTCTGTTTATACTTCAACTGGCCTTAAGCAATGTGTATTGGTCTAGCTGAGGTGCTGGTGATAGTGTTTGAAGGTGCCATGCGTGTTTCCCTGGTAACCTATACCTGCTGCTTTTTCATGTGAGCTGGGTCAAGACAGGACAGTAGGGGGCCGGGGAGATGGCTCAGTGGAATAAGCGCTTCCTTGGCAAGCGCAGGGGCCTGAGTTCAGTCCCCGGTTCTGCAAAAAAAA